AACCTTGTTGGTTATATTGACATTTGAAATCTGGCTAGATGACTGACCTAAATTTTAAATGGCTGATCCTGGTAAAAGATTCAAAAGCCTCTGAAACTTGCATATTTTATGTAACTTGTGTTGGTGAGGGATAATTTTTCTTAGAAATACATTTATTTGAATTTTCACAACTGGTTATATAGTTGTGAAAATATTTTTTATATTTTAATCATGAATTTAAAAAAAAAAAATTGCTGCTGAACCATCTGAAAAGTATAATAATAAATTTTTTTTCTTTTTATAGGATAGCTTCTTGGGTGATGACTTTAAGTCTCAGGCTGATGGCTTGCTTTCACAAGATTCCACCTACCAAGGCGACAGGATGTTCTACGCCTCGCAGCTGTCTCAGGGTCCTTTCCACTAGAGGCCGCGCTGGTGCAGCCCCCCCTGTGGCAGGAAAAGTAGGCTTGATACAAGAAGGCAGAGGATACAACTAACTACCAGTGTACGAGGCTGCAGTGTCTGTCTGACCGCCGGAGAGAGAAGAAACCTACAAAACCCACTCGACGACGATGACGACAAAGTCTGCTGCACGTGTGAGTGTCACAAGTGTACTGGAGGAGGAGGAGGAGGATTTGTGCAGTAAGTGAAGACAGAGGTGCAGAGCTACTACTGATTGTAGCAGGGTGACTGACGTTGGGAGCAGCAGGAGGCTGGATTAACTGGGGGGAGAGAGAGAGCAAAGCAGAAAATTGGAAGGTTAAAAAAAAAAAATCACTAAAACTCCCCCCCGTCCTACAAGTTTGATAAGTACCAATAAAATGCATTAATAGAAATATTGTGTGCATTTTAAGTGTGTGTATGTATGTGTTATGTGAAAGAGTTTAATAGATTTCAGAAAAAATGACCCAAATCTCTTAAAGCAGAAGCTAAAATATGCATTCCTCCCATTCCTTTTGACATGGTAGATCTTTAATTTCTTCAATATAGAAAGCTTAATTTTTAATATTTTTCTATCAATTTTTAAACTGAAATATTGAATTAAAAAAAAAAGTAAAAAAAAAAAAAAAAAATGATGGCTTGGAAGAGGAGAAAAAGTCAGTTTCACTAATTATGATATAAAAATATAAAATTGCCACCATTTGTTAACCTTTACTATCATTCTTCCGCATTTTTTTCTTCCTTTCAAGGAATTGTCAAACACCTTTTAGTGCTCATGCTGCTGTTCTGTGATTGTGCGTGCATGTGTGTTCCCTTTTTAGAAGGGAAGCTCCAATACTTCTGCCCATTCTTACCTCCCCCCCTACTGCTGCTGCTGCTACAAGCAAGGTGGCAGCTGTGATGTTGGTGTGGTGCTCACTCCTCATTTCTCCCCCCCCTCCCTACCTGCTGCCACCCACTCACTGCCGGCCAGTCCTACTGCAGGCTGATGGCACTGACAGCAGACGGCAGACACTGGCCTAAACTGGATAACACATGGAAAAACCTCATCTGGCTTTGAATACAAACAGTATCAATAATATATGGAAAAATTATAACCTTCCTGACATCAGAATGTTTAAGTTTGGGAAAAAGAAAACTAAAAAAAGCAAGAACACTATTGAAATTTCCTTTCCTTTATTTTATTTTTATTTTTTTTATCTTTTTTTTATTTTTTTATTTTTTTTTTTGTAACCCTTCCTGTCTGGAAAAAAAAAGAAATAACTCACCCTTCCTCCCCCACAATCTAAATTTGCAACTTTTTGTAGCAACATGTAAGCAAAAACTGTCTTATGGGCATTTGGCTTTAGAATATATTCCCCATCCCCCATTTTTTTTTTTTTTTTTTTTTTTTTTTTTTTTTTTTTTTTTTGAGTGACATTTGTCTTGCTTCCCCTAATATTTTTTTTTTCTTCTTTGTCATTCCCTTTTAGTCCTTCAAAGTTTTCTTTCAACATCTTTGCTTTTTATGTAATCTCTTGATGAATCCTCTACTAAAAAAAAATTGACAGGTTGAGACTGCTTTTAGCAAAGGGTCATCTTTATCCCGTTCTTGGCTTCTTTTGTGCTCCTGAAGAAGAGCAGACGCCTTTTAGAAAGTTTGTTTCCGATTGGAATCACTTGCATTTCCAGCTCAAGTATTTTCCCCTGTAGACTGCAACTAGTTTTTACTGTTATTTTATTTGCATATAACTATATATATATATATATATATATATATATATATATAACCTCCCACAACATGGGGTACTTATATAGAGTAGCCAAAAAAAAAAAATTTCCCCTTCCTTTCCTACTCCCTTGTCTGTCACTTTTGACCCCACCCACCTCCCATGCTCTAGCAGTTGGCTCCCTCTTTCCAGTTTAAAAATACTCTCCCAAATCCAATCCAATCAATCGTAACTGAAAGGCGAAATGTTATTTGAAAAGTTGTTTCATTTTATGCTCTGTCATGAAAAGCATTTTTAAGTTGAAATAAAATGTAAAAAAAAAAAAAAATTCCCCGTTTCCTTTCCCTCTTTGGTTTGCTGGGGTGACTTACTGCATTTTTTTTTTTCCTCCCTTTCTTTGTTTATGACCTTTCATCTTGATTATCCTTATCAAAGGAACGCCCTCTTTTGGCTTTTCACCAACAGGACAAATCACCTCATGTTTACCTTGCTGTTTGTGTTAGTTCACAAGAAAAGACTGAAATGAAAATACAAATCATATTTCCAATAGATTATTTGATTAATTAAAGATTCACTTTGTACATGCTTCTCTCACAACAGGCTGGATCTTCCCTTCAGCCAGAGAGGACTCTGTCTCTCTTGACAGGTGATACAATATCTAATAACTCTGCCAGCCTTCTAGACAGCACCTGGTTGCTTTAAAGGGATCACTTTTAGGTTTTATTTGTTGTTGGTCATAAAAAAAACAATAAAAAACATTTGGACGATTTAACTTCATGAGTGTTCTAAGTCATAGACAGTATGTTTAAGTATAGAAGTTTTCTGTGTATTGGGTTGTCACATGAATTTTTTTTTTTATTTTTACATTTATTTTAATCCTATTATTCGTCAATATAAAACAAAACACCCTGAAACTAATTTTGTATGTTAATTCAAATGGTGGGGATGGAACAAACTTACTGAACAACCAAATGTGGCTTAAGTATAGCACTATCCATATTTATTTTTATTTTAAAGACTAAAACTCCCCCCACCCCATATATTAGACTACCAGGTCGAGCTTTCATATTTGGAGTTGGCAACTCTTAAAAACAAAAATCCATCATATTCATAGGCTCTCTCTCAAGTCTTGTAGCACTGAAAGAGCCTAAACATGACATCACCATAAACCTAAGTTAAGTTTTGTTTTTTTTTTAAATTTATCTTAGCCTGGATTCCAAGTCATGTTGGTATACTGGGCCATGAAATAACTAGCTAAAGACACTGCATACAGACATGTTAAACAATATTCAACTATCGGAGTATGGAAAAAAAAAAAAAAACTGGAGGAAAGTTTTATCCAGACTCTCAATTGGAAATACGCATCTAACACACTTGCATCTTAATAGGAAACAAACTCTAGTAACTCTCAGTTGAAAATATACTCAATTAAGTTGCCATCATCTATTGAGCAAACAATATCCTTAACTTAAAGGAAATCAAACTTTATATCAAAACATAAAAAAAAAAAAACCCTTCAGACTTTAAATATTCCTATTAAATAACTCATAACCAATTTGTACCAGAAACTGAATATAAAAATAACTTGTATTAGAAAGAAGAGGGGGGGGGGGCACACTTGTAAGTAAAACTGATCTACATATAATATCAAGCTATATCCCAAACAAGGCTAGATAAGTTTTGAATCCTGGTGCAGAAAAATTCTAACTTTCCTCATTGTATGAGGCATCTTAACTTCAGGTGACTCTGTTCCCAACCCCCACTTTTTTTTCTTTTTAAAAATCCAAAAGTTGAAGTATATTAAATTTTCAATTTTATTTGCAATAAAATTTTAAGTCATGAAACACATGTATACATTTTCCCCCACCCCACCCCTTCAACTTGCACAACACAGAAATAATAGAATTGTCATGTGACTCTCGCTGTCATTCAAAGTTCACCATCGCGGATGATTGCTGTAGCGAGTTGGAGTCTGGCCTTGAACAGCTTGTGAGATTTCTTCCAAAAAACTGAAGGGAGAGAAGGAGAAAAAAAAAAAAGAATGAAAGAAAGCTGCTCAAGTGTTTGTAAAGACATTAACTTTTTAACATTATAGATAGATATTTTTCCCTACCTTTTATAGTTATGCACTGTCGTTCCTCCAAGAACTATACGCACACCTGGTATAGATCGGTTGAGACTGTGTACTGACAGAGCTTCTTCATATGTGGTGCCTCCAATGATAAAGACAATTATGTCCTGAGGTCTAAAAAGATTAAAAACAATTTCATAAGATGCAATGAATGTTGGCTCAACACTTTAAAAATGGCGTGGTTGACAGGGAGGAAGGAAAGAACAGTTTCTTACCGATCTTTGAGTTGTCCAGTACCTAAATATGGATAACTAGATTCTTTTAATTTTCCTTTAATGAGTTGGTCAAGGATGGAATGAAAGAGTGGTTTGTGTTGGGTGTAAACATTTTCCACTCCCTACAAATTAAAAAAAAGAAATTCATAAGTAAAATAAAGTCTTTGAATAATAAACAGATCAAATATCAATTCATACATGACCTTTAAACCTTTCAGGAATCTCTTTGTTATGGCAACAGGGTCTTCATTCTCAAATAAATCACTTCCCCTTGCATTTGCTCCTCCATAATCAAGCAGTGATTGAACTTTCTGAAAGTGAGAAGAAAATATTAGGCTTTCAGTTTATATAACTAAATGTAATTTCACATATTTGAAAAAAAAAAAAATTTTTATATTAAACTTTCTCTTACCGAACGATATTTTTCATTAAGTCCCTTTTTCCGTAGAATGTCCACAAGTCCTGCAATTTCATTACTACTGTGTTTCTCATAGCGCAAAGCATAGAGCATCACCAAACGGAGCATGTCAATGTCTCTGATCTTTTCTTTGTTCAAAAGATTCTTGACTTTCTGTAAGAGTGTGAAGAGAGAGAAAAAAATGTTCATATTATTCAGTCCACTCCTGTGGGGAATTGAAGAATTTGTTACATAATGAAGAAAAGAAACAAAAGATTGCTCTCACCTGCAGTGAAGCAGAATGATCATTCTGGCAGGCCAGTTCTTGTTCACATTCTGAGATTTCCAACAAATTATGCATTCCCACTAACCGGGATAATTCACCAACCACAGTCACATGCTTTGACACTGTACCTGACATCTTTTTAAATTGGGGATAATTTTCTACAAAAGCCTGCAACATTAAAATTCAAGTTAATGTGCTAATTTAGATTTTTTTTTTTTTTTTTTTTTCCTATTAAATTCAAGTTCTATGTACAGGGGAGTGGTGATTAACCTACCTTCATATCTGCAATGGATTCTACTTTGGCATGGCTCTTTGATTTCTTCTGGAATTCCTCCATGAGTTGTTTGATATTGTTGCCTATTTCTCCAAAGTTCATGTACAAATTCTGATAAAATATATACACAAGTGCAATAATGAAATTTCATCTTGATACAAGCAACATAATATTCTCTTTCACATTTCTAATGTAGATCTATAATTGACTTTAAAAAAAGGAGTTGTCTTTATCGTAAATGGAATTTGATTGTTTTCATTCTATAGGATTCATGAAATTTAAGAGAATGAATAATTTTATCGTTACAATAAGATTATAAAAAAAGAAATGAAAATGGTTAAATGATATTTTAAGTTTTACTTGGTGCATTTATTTTTTCATTTTTTTTTTTCCCCCATTTGATATGAGATTACTTATTTTAACTCAATGAGGTGTTTTTAATTATTCTGATTTTAAAATTTATTAACTAAATTACTAAAAAAAAAAAAAAATGGGTAAGGATTGATAAAGACATTGATTTTATACTTTTCAATCCCCCCCTCCCAAAAAAAAACAAATGCTTTATTGAATTGTGCAAACACCACCAACCATTTTTTTTAAACACTGAAATAGCATCTTCAGGAATTTCCCTTTTCTATGAATGCAAAAAAAAAAAAAAAAAAATTCAGTCTCCATACCCCAAATTTCAAAAGTACACACACAGTCATATTGAAATGGCAGGTGAAGCTAACTCCACCCAAAAATATTTTCAAAAAAATGAGCTATTAAATTGGATAAATTTTTAAAAGCTGGATGAGGTTTCTTGCTTTCCTTATTGAAAATGTGTTTACCAACATTATTTAGATAATTATGGAATGCTATGAATGATGCTAGGCCCAAAATGATAGAATTGTATAAAAAGTTTTAAATTATTCACTTTATGTATTCATTTATATCCATTTCTATAAAAAATATAAACTTAAGTTCCCAAAAATATTTTATTTTCTTTATTTAAATGTATGGATATTTTTTCCTGGTGATATACAACTGATTTTTGACAAGGTAGATATAAATTCTTTGTATAAAAAGATTTAAAAAAAAACAGACAAGGCACCCGGTCTGGATGGTTTCATCCTATGAATTGTACTTGAGGCTGTCACACATCTTTGTCCTGATTTTGACTGTTATGTTCAACAACTGGTTCTGCTAGGGATGTGGTCATGCTATTGAAAAAGGGCAAGAGTGTTAGGCGAAATTTAGATGACTAGGCACATAATTCTGCTAAACACAGAGTTAAAGATTTTGGTGATGATCCTGATGGAACATTTGCAGTCAGTTGCCAAAAGTCCGTTAGGACCTGAGCAGAAGGGCTGAACAATTTGGAACAACCTGCATCTGATCCACATGATAAATTTAAATCAGTCCAAGGCATTTGATAGGATTGACCATTGCTACCTGGCTGCTGTCCTGCAGGACTCGAACCCAACTTCTGCCGCTGGATTGCTTCCCCCATGCTGTGGTACAGGTGAACAGGAAGCTGGCGGGCGCTTTTGCTCTGTCTCAGTCGGTTTCTCAGGGTTGTCCACTGTCGCCCCTACTTTATGCTTTAGCATTGGAACCTCACCATCACCGGCTGAGGGACAGGATGTGCAGTCCAGCCCTACACGGAATTTCTGTCCCTCGAGGAGCTTAAGCTAGGGTTTCGGCATATGCCAATGACGTATCTACTTTTGCGTCTTCCTGCAGTGATATTGAGGTGGTACTGAAGGTACTTGAATGATACAAAAAGGTGACATGGGGCCAAGATTAACTGACAAGTCTTCCAGTTTGCAGTTAGGTGTCTGGAAGAGGGGTCTATCTTCTGTGGCCTTTTGGTTGGACAGATGGTCCTGCCTGCATTCTTGGAGTGTGGTTTGGACCCAACCTCCAGCTGAGGAAAAATGGGTCAGAAGTACAGGCAAAGGTCAGCGCAGCCTGTCAGCCTGTCAGACTTGGTAGGGCGGAGGTGTGTGCCACTTATGTCTTTCCACTTGTCTGTACTTCCTCTCTGTAAGGGACATATAAGAAGGTGCTCGAGCACTTGCTATCCTCCATTTTATGGAGGGGGGCGCAAACATAAAGCGGACAGAAGTCTGTGCACAACGTCTGTCATGGAGGGCTGTGAATGCTGCACTTGGTGAGTCATAAACTTGACTCAAAGGTTGGCTTTTCCTTATTATGGAGGGGATTGTAAGGGACGCCTTCCTTTACCATCAGTCCTTCCATCTCGCGGGTTGGGCGCCGTCATAGACCCTGAGATCAATCAGATTTGCTTCACGAGTGTCAATCAGCCTAGAAGATCATTCCTTCTTCCAGTGACCTTTCTCAGCCTAGGAGAATCTTCTATCGGGAATTAGTGGAGGGGGCCATGAAGGATCCACTATGTGAGCGGCTCGGCTTGTCAGAAGAGTTTCACTCCTTATGGTCTTGGGCGCCAACAACCTTGAGTTTTCACTTACCCGGCAATTGGTTTAGAATAGGTTATCTCTCAATGACATGGCTTTCATATGAGTCTTGGCAGATTTGCCAGAGTGTGAACAATAGACCTTGGCACAGAAGAAACAGCTTTACATGCCTTCTACCATTGTGCTCAGGTCCACCCTCTATGGGACCATGTTGGCGAGTTGATGGCTCGTCTCACTTCCGAAAAGCTTGTGCTCATTGATTGTGTATACGCGTGTGTCGCCCCCGTATTCTGGGATGAAACAAATTATGTTTTACCACTGCTGGCCATGGCTTGAATGGTGATTTGGATGATGCGGCAAGAGGAAGTCTTGCAAGGCAATTTGAGCATCAGCTCAAGATTAAGATTAGAACTGATAGAAAATGTTTTGACAGACTTTAGCAAAAGGTGGGTGACTGAGGCAAGCTTGGTTTGTGTTAACAGAGCTTGCCTTGACTTTTCTCTTTTAGGTCTACCTAATTTACATCGGGGTGTTTTCCTGTGGAGTCCTCCCCAGGTCAGGCTAGACAAGCTTTATGTAATGTGCGTAACTGTTGCTCCTGGCTACATCTTTGGTTATGATCCAAGTTAAGCTTCTCAACCTCCCCAGTTTGTTTTTTGGCCTCCTTTCATCTTGACTGAGTCAGCTTTATTTATTCCCCATGTCCGTATATATTTTCTTCTTTCCCTCTCCCTTAGCGAGAGAGCCTCTTGATTCTGTCGTAGAGCAGAATACTGCAGCCTCTTTTTTTGAGTTTTGAGGGCTGGATGGGTCCAACTAACATCAGATATCTTTATTTTATTTTTATTTTTTTTTAGTTTGGATTTTTGGGTTCATACCCCTCCCTTCTCATTTTATATCATATACAAATTTTTATGCATAGTATTTTATAATCATGAAATGCAATTTTTATGTCATGGAGTGCATTTTTCAGGTCCCCCTTGAGAGTATGCGGTATTATGGTATATGGAGGATTGATTGGTAATGGAATTAGATTAGCTAGGTATAGGATAGTAAGTGACAACCAGCCTCAACCCCATTCCCCCGCCACACACACTTTTTGGCCTTGTGCCACAATTGTGTTTTTTTACACAATAAATCTTAACAGCAGACAAAATTAAAATTGTTATGCAAATTAAATGTTACCATTTATATTGGAAACATAAGGAACCTTCATAATTTCTTTTTTCACACTGATGTTCACTTCACATATAGACTTGTGCAAATGTTTGATGAAGATAACGATTAAGTCTAGATTGTAGTGATTGGGGAAGCCTATTCTTGGATGTTAGTTCCACAAACAGTGGTTCAAAGATCTGGACTGTCTTGTTCTGATGTGGGGGACACAGAATAAAATTCATAAATTTATAAAACATGGCAGCCATTTTCCCCTCCCAAATGCACACGTGCACTCAAAATCTCTTCCTATTTGCGTCAGCTGAAACTGTACTTACGTTCGCATAGAAGTCATCATGTTCAGCAGAGAGGACCACTTCCTGCAGGTCCCGAGAGATGCCAGGCACTCCCGAAAGGTTGATACGGTTGTTATTAATGGTGAGCAGCTCATGAACCATTGCTTGGTAAGTCCACTGAAAAAGAAACAAGATTTAAAAAAAAAAAAAAACTTTAGGAAGATTCACTTTAACAAAAAATTTAATCTGGTTAAACATTAACAATATTGTGGCAATTCTTTTGAAAAGGAAAGTCTTTCATGTTTCTTCAGTGATCATTATCTTAGTTTTCAATATATTCAATATGGTAATTTTTTTTTATTTTTTTTTTTCCTTCAAGGAAATTCTCTATATGCTGCAGAACTGATGTAGACAAACAAATCTGATTTATTTTTAATGTAAAGCAAAATGAACATTTTGTGTCCTAATTTCCACTGATTTTTTTTGCATCTTGCATTTAAAGTGAGTGTCAAGTGAAAAGCCAAATGCATTTACTTGATTCAGAAGGGGAGTGACAGCATCGTCACGGCGATCCAAAATAAGAAGCAGAGGGGTCACGTCTGTTTTTCTGAATTCAAACAAAGCAGCTTCCTTGTTAATGACTTGCTACAACAGACAGAAAAAAATGAAAGCATAAAATTTGATAAACAATTTGAAAGATAATGAAAGTGAGAGACCAACATAAATTGTTTTTACACTTGTGGGGAAGAAAAAGAAAAAGGTGACTGCCTCAAAATAACAGAAAATGGTTAATTTTGTGGATATTTTTTATGCTTAATGAAAATTGATTATCTACTAAAAAAAAAAAAATAATCTAGCTACAGGCCTGTTTGAAGAATTTATTTATTTATTTTTTTTTATAGTAACATAGAGTAAAAAAAAAAAAAAAAAAAAGACATTGTCAGGTAGACTTCTATGGCAGGTTTTATTTTCTTTGGTGGGTGATAAAACACAAAACATGTCTCAGCTTTTCAACCCACATCTATTGCACCTGAGTTCTCATTCATTGGTGCACAAAAACTGCAGAAAGCCACTTGTATGTTCATGAGTAAAATAAAAAGATGACATAGTGTATGCATTGTCGATAAAAGCAAAAAGAATAATAATTTTGAAAAATGTAAGTTTTCTTAGAGATTCGAAACTAGATTTTGTTAATTTGAATGAAGGAAAATATAATGTTAACGGGTATGGAATGTGTGTACATGCAATTAGTCATTGGAGTTTGGTTATCTAAATCTTTGGGTAGCAAACATGCTCCTATCGAAAATTGAGGTTAGTGGACAGTCTTGGACAAAGCTTCCTGACACCTATTTCCAAATAAAAAGCAAAACCAGGAAGGAAAAAAAAAAAAGGGGAGGAAATAAAGAAATACGAGGCTGAGAACTGTCAGGCAAAGCCAGTTAATTTTACTGTGAAATTCTTAGCTGGGTAAAACCAGAATCCCTACTGCATATCAGTTAGGGGAGAGAATGAAAAACCCGATATTGTGAAAATATTTTCCAATCGCCCCCAACGTGCTCTGCCCTTCTCATAAAAAATGTAAATTATTATATAAATGGCTAATAGCAATTACCCAGGGTTAGTTCAAGAGATAGTTTTGGGAGAGAAATGAGACAGCAGTTATGCCTAGAACAGAATCATGACTGCTGATTGCTAATTTTAGGCTGTTTCTCTCATGAATGAATTTACAATAATTCAGGAAGTTTGACAATACTTTATTTTTTTTGTTTCTCATGGATCCCAAGCAATTTTTTTTTATTAGCTCATGAACTTTTAATAAGATTGTTACTGTAACATCTAGCTGAAGGAAAATAAAACTTCAGATTTTCTTTTATCTTCAATTCTGGTATCGCAACATTTCTTCCTAGATTTCAACATCTGATGAAACTTGAGACAATATTCGTAGATGATCTATTAAAATTTACCACTGCACAATTTTGTTACTTTTTAGTAACAAATTGCAATACACAATGTACTTAACTCCTTGTGATCCAGCAGACCCAACTTTGGCATGGAGAGGATCTTTTCAGCCAGGGATCAAGGGACAGTTCTGTCTTATGCCAGTAACCAGATTGTAGTTGCTGAAGTGACAGGGTATTCAGCAACGTGACCAAGGCTATATCTGGGACCAGGTTGGCTTAAGGTCCCAATAGAGGCACAAATCCAGTTTCCAAAATATTTTAATGTTTATTCATAGATTCCCTTTACATGGTCTATGGGGGATTATGTATGTGAGAACTCCTGCTAATTCTGTCAGGATAGGCTAACATATCAGCTTTTGCCTTCAACCAGCATGAATTCCGACTTTCTCTTACTGGCCACTCTTCATATCTCTACATCATGATGCTGGCTTGAAACTAGTAATGTGTAACATTGGAACTTTATGCCCATTCTGTGACCCTGGTAATATAAGCTTATAACTGGAATTTCTGGTCAAGTGGCAATTGTCCTTGAAAGTTTTCATATATTTATTTATTTATTTTATTCCCTTTTGGTCAAATGGCTAACTACTGTGAAGATCCTACTTTGCAGACTTTACTGCTGGTCATGAAAAGCACAAGACACTTAAAACTCAGATAAAATCATTTATCATCCACTTCTGTGTGCATATTCTGATCCGGTCATAACAGTATATATCAAGCAGAGGAAAATGTAGCTAAAAATGCTTTTTAACAAAAGTGTTTTAGTTTGAGATGACACTAACAGACTTATATTAATCTTAGAAGAGAGTTTTATACTTTGGTCTGCAACAAAGAAATGTTGCTAAGAAATTCATTCTTCAAACAATGATTTTTAATTCATTTCTGTGAGTAAAGATTCATAAATAAATGAAATTTAATTTGCATGAGACTAAGCAACCTCAATATGGTTTGTGACTAAGAAGTTAAAACTGCAGTTGTTATTTGGTAGAAAACAATTCTAGTTTCCTAACAAGTGCATATAATAAATCAGATCTTATAATCAATTTTATTTATTTATTTTTTTTGTATTAAATGACAATCATTGCAAAGCGATCAATCAAACATGAGACAAAACTCATCGATGCAGTCATTTGATATTAAATATTTTTTAAAAAGATGACACATATCAATGCAAAGTCAAGGCCAATATACTTACCCGTACATTTTCAGCAAGTCTTCGTGCCATTTCTGATGAGTTTTGATAGCGAATCATGGGACATTTCTTTAGAGAAAGAAGCACTGAGGTTAAGCCTTGCACAGTTCGGGACAAGGATTTGGGTAACCAACTTGTACAGCCCTAAATACAAGCAAGAGACAAACTTTTTATTCACTTGGGAAATTACACAAAGATTTTTCAAACATAAAATAATTTATCTGAATAAAGAATTGTTTGTAACAGCTTGTCAAGCATTGTAACTCTGTCTTCTCGGCAATTTGGATAATGTTGATATGCTTTTGACTCCTCTATTAAACAGGAACATCCTATTCACAAGATTTCTGTTACCAGTGTATTGATTGGAATTCCTTTTGTGATTTTCTTGGAGTAAAATTCTTAAACTTCTTATTGAGAATTGTGCCATTGAGGTTTCTTCTTGGGTAAAATCCAGCATCAAAAATACCAGGTGAAACCATAATCATCTCCTTGGTTCATGCTGGTTTGTTCAGCTTCTAGAACCCACTTTTTCCAGCTGTATCAACATGATAGTTCTGATCATAACAGATACCTCTTTGTCTGCTCATAATAATTGTAAATAATTTGTTCACTGAAAGAATGAGACATTATATAGCCGCTAACAAGTTTTGTTCTCTTGACTAATGGTGGCTCTGTAATAGTGTGTTAAATAAGAGTAAGTCTTCTAGCCTCTTCTCTTCACTTAATTTGAGTTGCTATCACCTTCTGTTGATAAAGAAGAATGTTTTGCTTGTAAATTCTCTACCAGTTCTACTCTTGAAACATCTGGAGTATCTTTTCCTGATTTTCCATTAACAATGGAGTTTCTACTATGTGATATGTACATAACTCTGTCCATGGTTTCTGCTATCATCTCTAAATTGGATCCCAACAAAGCATGTGAACTTGATGGTATTCCTGTAATAGTCCATCAGAAATATGCCCTGGAACTGGCTCCTGTTCTCTCTAAATTCTACAATAAATGCCTTGCTGCTCCTTAGAAATCCTCTTTTCTACTTCCAGTCTTTAAGAACTCAGTTGAACCATCTGACACTTCTATTGGCCTATTATCCTTCAATCTCTTTTCGGAAAAGTACTAGAGGCTTTCAATTAACTCTGAATTGGCTCACTTCACAGGGTCTTCTTTCAGACAAGAAATATGGCTTTTGTTTCTCTAGGTCAACTGCTGATGTGTTAACAGTTATTTTTGAAAGAGTCTATCAATATAAGAATGGTGAACCATGGGTTGTTGCTTTGGATATCTCAAAGGCATTTGACAGGGTTTAACATGATCATCTTCTTCACAAGTTGAAAGGTTATGGTATTTCAAAGATTGATTTAAATTTTTGATTTGAATCAATCTTTCTTACCAAATTGTGAAATGAAAGTTGTTTTGAATGGCTACTCTTCTAGATCATTTTGCATTAATGAGATGGTGCTCCAGGGCTTTATCCTTGCACCTACATTGTTTCTAATTTTTACCAATCATCCTGATCTCATTAGTTCTCAATTTCATATCTATACTGATGATACAATTATATTTACTCCTGTCTTAATGGTAAGTCTGATCTGTTAGATAAGATCAAATTGGCAGCTGATCTCAAAAATGACCTACAATCTGTTGTTAACTGAGACAAAAAAATGGTTTGTTAATTTTAATGCCTCCAAAACAAAACTGTTCTCTTTTAATTGTCTTAAAGAACCTTTATTGCTTTCCATCAGCATGGTTAATGCTAACCTCTAGGAGAATGGCTCATCATTTGTGACTTCTCTGGCTAATGTTTTCTGCTGACATGTAGAGGAAGATTATATTCAATCAATTGCTAGGCTTACTGCTCAGAAAGTTGGTTCATTATAGGTCTACCATTCATCATGTTGCTGTCACATCTGATCTGGTGTATTTAGAGGTTCTTGATTAAATCCAAAGAAGAATCTGCAATGTTATTGGTTTTGACCTGGTATTTCAGCTTCAATCACTTTCCCCACTGCTGTAATATAGTTTCCCTGTTCCTTTTCTATAAATATTTTCATGGCAATTGTTCTAAAAAGCTTTCTTCTTTGGTACTGAGACTTTATAAATTTAAGTGCAGTGCTAGATTGGTGGCAATGTCTCATGATTTTACAGTTGAATTGGTTAGATGTAATTGTAAGTTCTATGCAAAATGTTTGCGCTTCTTGCTTATGGAACTCGCTTCTTGCTTTCCAGTCAACTTTAATCTTCAAAAATTTAAATGCAATGTCAATTGTTATCTTCTGGATTCTTAATTCTTGTTCTTTTACCGTTCTCTCCCCTTAATAAGGTTTTTGTTTTTCTCATATTCTCTAACACTCAGTAACCCCTCTGTGTCTTAGTGGCTTTATTGCATTGCTTGGGATGAAATGATCTTAAAAAATAAAAAATTCACAGATACTGAAACATTGATCTTAGATGGAAGTACCAGGGAACAACAGTGATTCTAACAGTGCACAGATAGTTTGGTCTGAGACAAAAGTGCCAATTCATATGTAAATGATACAGATATTTTTTATGGGTATTTTGCTAGTATATGTTAAATAAAAAGGTAAAAGATTTCTTTTAAAAAGTGTGTGTACATAGATAGAAATGTCAGTACTGAAAATGTGATATTAACTTTCTGTGCAACAGTGAAAGATTTTAAATGCAGGAAATGTCATTTGTTAGTCAAAGAAATTACTAAAGATCCGTTTGAAATTCCTCTATTATTTGTAATTACCTTTTCCCACAAGAAATTTTATAATTGTTGTTACTAATTAGATGAGGTAAGAGTTTTTATTGTTATTTAAAAATAATAATGATAAAACAAATCACAAAAAGAAAATATTTGTCAAGAGATTTGTGTAATTAATTTACATGATAGCAACTTTTTGTTGAATTGGTTAAAAAGCATATTTTAAGTTATATTTTATATATATATATATATATATATATATATATATAATCTGTATTTAACACACCAAAGAAGTAGACTAAAATAGTACACTGAGGCAAAGTGCTACATACCAAAATGTCAATCCCCACTGCCTCAATATCATGAACAAAACTGGCAGTTATGGCCAGCCATATGTACACAAAACTTTATTGTAGAAAATATAATGCTCTGCCATTTTGGTATTGAGGACTTTGTCTCGTGTTACTTTAGTCAATTCCTTCAAGAGTTGCTGTTTTTTTCTCTTCCTTCTTTGAATAAAGTTGACATTTGGTAATTCCATTATTCATCATACTGGCATTTTGTCCCTCAGTGATTTTAGTTGGTGAATGCATTATGTGTATCTGCAAGCTACCCATCTTGTTATATCTTGGGTCAGCCAAGAGGGTATCAATGTTCATATCACCAAAAGAAAAATACTGGCATAAAAAAAAAGAAAACAAAACAAGAACACACACACACACACAAAAACTTTTGTTTTTAAAATAGCAGTGTAAAAAAAAGAAGAGAGAATTGACTGATGATTAAATTTCACCCAATATTTCAAGAATTTCAATAAGTAATTGGTTACTTTATAAAAAGTTTTCTGATTGGTCAGCTCTATGTAATTGATAAAATATGTAAGCTGGCAAGCAAGTCTTCTGTAATTGTCAGATATATGAATACCAAAATATATCTTCTAAGCATTTTACACCAAGAAGCAGGATGTCAAACATTATCTGGCAGGTCTGGAAACACAGATGTAAGATCAAAGGTTATCTACATCACCAATAAATGTTAATATAATCATTTTCCCTCCTCCTCCTTTATGTGTGTGTCTACAATATGGACACACACAATATGACTACACACACCATCTGCCAAAATGAATTCAATTTTCATTCTCTTTTCTCTGCCAAAAAGCAGACTTTAGCACAATACAGTTGTAATTCCAAAAGTATGTGTGAGAGTGAGGGGGGGGGAACAAAAAACAATTTCACTGAATGTGGTATGCTGATTAGTTGCCCAAAATACATTTATATATGATAAATAAATAAATGGTTTAAATGAACCAGGAACTATTTGTCGTGTTTTTTTTTTTGTTTTTTTCCTTACCTGACAACACCCAACAATATTTAGGGAAAATAAATGTGGATTCACAGCAATGTAATCTCCGAAAAACTCCTACAAAAAGAAAGAAAAAAAATTTCTGGGGTTGAAATAACAAAAAGATGGTAAATTCAAATGATGCAATGAAATACAGAAACAATTTGTTCTCCAATTTAAACGGATACTTTCACCAGAGATGAGTAGTGGGGATACAAAATGAAACATGACTTTGCTGGACTGTGAGAGAAGAAAAAAAATGTTCAAAGGAATGTCCATGTAAGTTGTTTCCAGATTCTAAGGATTTGTTTGCAGAAAATTGAATGGGAAACACAACAACGCAGCATATGACCAACAAAATTATTTTTCAAAATATCATATATATTCATGTATAAACCGACTTCATGTACAGTGCAACAACCTGAATTTTTTAGCATGAATTTTAACTCCCCCCACTTTTTTTTTTTGTTTTTTAAACAAAAGCTGAGCGGAAACAAAATATAAATTCAATTTAAATAATTTAAAAACAAAAGTCCCTAAAGTAAAATTTCACTGAAAATACAGAAATAATGAGGGTGTGAGTCATATGATCTTGTTGGTTAAAAACAAATGGTTGAAATAAAAACTAACAAAGCAATAATTACACTTTAAAATGCACAAAACTGGCAGACCAATTTTAAAACAAAGCAGAAAAATTCCTGTCAACAAGAACTTTGACTTTACACAGTGAAAGAACAAGATGAAAAATCTAATTATTAATATGAACAAATTCTACTTAAATAACTTGTTTGTTTTTTTTTTTAAACTGCTTGGAGATGAGATATTTTTGTTAGAGTTAAAGTAGTTTATTTATTTTTGGTTTTGTGCAGATGAAAATCTTAACGTCATAATTCTTATTCTTGATAGCAATGAAATTCTTGAGTAAAGGAATCCAACCGAATCATATTTTATGAAATAAGGAGAAAGCAAAAACTAAAGTATAAAAAGAACCTGTGCTTTGTAGATGCTGTGAATGACATTTGGACTTCTTTGAGAGAATGAGTCTTTAACAATACTAACCTTTTGTGAACAATATAACCCAGGAAAATTCCATTAGAAACAAAGAAAATAATACCGGACTATGATCTAATATGAGTCCCCACTATATGGCAGCAAATGCTAAGCAATCACTTTACAGTTGAAGAAGAGACTAGAGACAAAAGAAATGTTGTTCTACAGAAGGATGCTGAGCATACCATGGACTGAACATGTGAGTAATGACAAAGTTTTAGACAAAAAGGAAACTTATACTTAGAATCAGAAAGATAGAATTGAAATTTCCAGGGCACATAATGAGGAAAGAGAGCTTGGAAAACTTAGCACTCATATGTTGAAGGCAAGAGGAACAAAGAAAAGCAACAAGTAACCTACCTAAGAGTAAGTGTGTAAATAGTTGGCAGAACAGGGATTAGGAGAGACAGCAAAAAGACAAACACCGCTAAGAGGTGCGAAGGGCATGAAGTTGTGGAGAACCATGATCACCGATGTCCTGAAGGGACATGGCACACAAAAAAAGAAAACTTCAGAATTTCTTTCCATTTATTCATAAGCAATAAAATATTAATGACAAATTTTAAAATTCTTTTCTTACCTGCACTTCTCTGACTACTTCATGATCATCTGCTTCAGCCAACACCTTCACATCTTGTTTACTTATAACATTACTGAAATCTGTTAAATAGAAACCAATTAAAAAAGCTAATAGCTAAACATTAAAATAATTTTAATTTTTCTTACTTAAATTAAATGATATGACATTTGCTCAAAAGTGTCTTCTGTCAAAATTAAATGATAGGAAAAGGCAGAAACTTTTTATACTGGATACCCATATACGACTAGATGCTGTGTTTATTTATTAAACGGTATATTTATTTTCGTCTATTGGCATGAATAGTTGAGAAATCTTATTAAAGGAAAATATGCAATCTCTGGCAGGATTCATATCTGGCTCTCCCTGGGTAGGAGAAACCGTCATAAGATCTGACACGCTTTAGACTGCTTGGCCACGAAGTTCATTGATGATCAAGCAAAGTTGAATAGTGCCTTTAAATGCAAATCTTTTCTCGACTCAAGAAATACACATTATTTTTCTTTAATAACATTTCTGAAATATATCAAGGCTGATAGATGAAAATAGATGTACAGTTTCTACTCAAATAGCCACAAAAAATAATAATAATTTGTAGGATTAATAAATAAATGAAAAAATTCCATTCACTTCTTTAAAAACTATTTGAAATCCAAATTTTATGAAGCAAGAGATTCCAGTATCTCTTATCCCCCAGCTGTTAGTAACAAAGGCTATAAACTGTGTAACAAAATTTACTAGGGTGGATTTTACAAGTGAATATTCACCTGGTGATTAATTAGATTGGGAATTAACTTTATAAGTTGATATGAAAAACACGTAATACAATAAAGTGAGTTAGCACTTGGAATTGGTCAAGTTTGAACTCATGACTTAACTAGTTCAATCAATTATGGTTGGGTAAAACAAGGAGAACTCCTGTCACCCTCACTAGAAAAATGACAGCTGACCTAAACCAGATTGCCATGCTCGGAAGAATCTTAGTTAAAATTCATCAGAGGCATATCATTTTTTTAATACTACTTCACAATTCTGACTTGATTATATACAAGGCTAAAAATTTTGTCAGCCCAGTTGGTGTGTGAATAGAGGATGAAGACTCGAATCCACTTCCACTGGCCCAGTTACCAAGCATATATGAAAATTTCCCATAAATAGAGGGGCATATGATAGTCTCAAAGAGTCAAGTTGCATTTCTTAATCCCCCCTCCTTACAACAATCTCACTCAGTGACTCTTGGCATCTTAATCCCCCCTCCTTTACAACAATTTCCCTCAGTAACCATCAACACCTTAATCCCCACCCCTTACACCAATCCTCTTAACCTTGGACATCTAGCATTTTAAAGTTAAACAATGAGTATTTTATTCTTTAGAAATTTTTCATAAAAACAATTTGATTCTTAAAGTAAAGTTTTTGGCTCATACTAATTACATTGACATAAACAGCTGCTTCCCCCTCTGTAAATAGACATTTACAACTCAAACCAAACATCTGCATTACAACTAATCAATCTTTAGTAAATGAACTATTCATACGAAGTTATAAAACTACCTTAATATGAAATTAACTTATGGCACCTCGCCATAGAGTAATGGTTAGCAAGGTAGTCACATTTGTCATCGCTACTGTAGTGAGATTATAGCTTACAGAGTTCTCTACACTTATGTATTTCACTTTCTCATTAATATGGAAAATAACTTTTTTTTTAATAATTTATCATTCCATAAAATGTTTCTTAAAACAGGACAAAATTGAATCTTAAATAGGACATCTTTACAACAGAAAAATTAATAAAATTTTGGATTTTGAGAAAAAAAAAAAAAAAAATTGAAATTTTGAGGTGCACTTTGCTTAATTTCCACCTTTCTATGAACAAAACAAATTAATATTTTGCATAAATCCTGCTTACATATATAATATAAACCATATTTTGGAACGCGCAATTCTTGGGAGAGTTGTTGTACATTTTCCTTGGTCGGCCGTAGGAAACAAATGCATTTCAAATGTTTCATTGTTTCTCGAGCAGCCGCATCGATCCTTTCAAATAAGTATACTTCTTTCTGTAAGATCTCTGACTGGGCAAACACCATGCTCACAATTGGGGTCTGGAAAAAGAAAGAAAAGATACTTTAATGGTTTCTTACTTTATAGCTAACTGCATGCTGGATAGATGCACTTAACTTACCAACAGGACGTAACTACAACACAACAGTGACAATGATAATTTCATCAACCATAAAAAGTCAGTTGCATTAATGATAACAAAAAAGAATATTTCATTTTTTTTTTAAAACAACTTGGCAAATATTTCAAACCAAAATTAACTTGATGATGACACACCATGCTGAATAAGTAAACACCCTGCTGTAATTTAAGAAAAATCAAATTACTGAAAAGTTTTAAAAATCTTTTTTAAATGGAAATTTTGAAATTGCTAATTCAGATAAAAGAGAGTTTATTAAGCAAAACTAATCAAGTAAGATTGCATATCAATGAACTTAATGGGTTTGCAGTAAAGTGCTAAGACCATTAGCTGTCTGATCATGAGACCCAGGTTTAAATCTTGATTAGAGAAGGGAGTGACTTCTTGCTAATATCAGCCTAGAAAGGTGTGGCACCAGTGGGAAGGGCCTGAAAATCGTACAAGCAGCTTGACTCAAGTTTTGTCAGTGAAATTGAGCAGACAAAACTATTTGGAAGCCATTGGTGGTTGTGCTAGCAGAGTCTCACTTCATGGCCAGCAATCTATCTATATATGATTTGTTGATAAAAGCACCCATCCCCTAACAGCCTGGTCCTCCATAGGAAATATAAAAATTTAAAAAACTCACAATGACTAAAACTTTTAAGAAAGTGAAATAAGTCATCAAATGGAGAATGCAACATTAAATAAATTAACTTAGACCCAACTTTATATTTAAAACAGATAAACTTAGTTGGCAAATAAATGAACATATTTAATATTTACCTGGTTTTAAAATGTATCGTCAAAAAGCATTTGTAGCTAGAGATAGTATAATATTGTTGCTAAGGGAGCATATTGACACTGGAATGTGGTGAGAGTTAACTTAAAATTTAAAGATACCTTATGAGTGTGGATGGGGAATGACAATCTGCTTGGTATATATATATGTATATATATTCTCCTTGAAATTATCTCTACCAGTCACAAATTAGTTATTATATATATATATATATATATATATATATATATATATATATATATATATATATTTATTCTGACACAAACTCAGTCCATACCAGGGTTGATAAGACAGACAAGACAATCTATATTTTTGTCTGCTGAAATAAGCTTATTCCTATATGAGGTGATTTTGGATTTTATTGTGTATTAATTATTTGTTCTGTAATAATAAATACATTTAGCTTTTTTTGTGGATCAGTTTTAATATTTTATATTACTAGGATGCACTTGGATTATATACCAACATATGTCTTACTTTTTATATATATATATATATATATATATATATATATATATATATAGAGAGAGAGAGAGAGAGATCAATGAAATTGAAACTCTTTGTAAAAATTTGAGGTTTTGTAAAGGTAAAATATTGGTAGATGGTAATTTCAGTCTGCCAAGTATAGATTGAATAAATCGTGTGGCATTTTTTTCAGCATCTACATATGCCTCAATCATTAGAGAAGTCTGAGTTATCATTCACCCCTTGTGAAGCAGACGTTAACCATGTTAAAAGGTGATAGTTTTAACTATAGCAGAAAACTACTGCAAATAAAAAGCAAGATAGTAGTACAACAGAACATAAAGAAATCACAATAGTGAAAATATCTTGCATGATTATAGTAACAAAACATTGCAAGAGAAAATAAAGAAAACAATTTATAAAAAAGAAGTTACCACTACAGTTGAACATATTCTTCAGGTTAAAGTTCTATAAACTCAACTGGTACCAGTGTTGTTATAACCAGCAAGCCTACTGAATGCACTCGTCACATGTAAACACACAAACCACTTTACTAATCATTTTACTTTGGCTGTTTCATATGGTAGAAATATTTCTCCACAACTTTAATGCTATCTTTAACAGCTCTAGATAAGAATGGTGAAGATCGGATGGTATCTGGACATCTCAAAAGGTTTTGGCATTACAGGTCTTTTCCACAAGTTCAAAAGTTATGGTGTCTCAGGACAAATTTTTGAACTGATCCAGTCTTTTTCTAATTGTAAAATGAAAGTTATCCAGAACTATCCTTTCATACTAATGCAGGTGTCCCCCAGGGTTCTATCCTTTAACCTATTTTGTTCTTAAATTTTTATTAATGACCTTCCCAATGGTATCAACTCTCAACTCGGTATCTACACTTATAGCAACCATTTATGCCTGTCTTGATAGTAAGCCTGATCAGTTCGATAAACTCAAATTGGCAGATTATGTCCAAAATGATCTTCAGTCTGTTATTAACTGGGACAAAGGATGGCTTGTTAATTTTAATGCCTCCAGAACTAAACTGATCTTATTAATCATCTGAAATAGCCCTCTCAGCCTTCCATCAGCATGGCTAATGCTAACCTCCAAGAGAGTGACTTTTGCACCTTCTCAGGCTTACATTCTCAGCTGACATGAAGTGGAAAGACTATATTAGATCCATTGCTTGGTCAGCTGCTAAGAAAGTTGGTTCACTGTGATGTGGTAGACAATTTTTCTCTCCAGAATCTTACATACAAGTCTATAATTCATCCAGAATTAGAATATAGCCGTCACATATTTTACTGCTGCTATTTATCTAGAGCTCCTTGATAAAATCCAAAGAAGAATCAGCAATATTATTGGTCCTGATCTGGCATCTCAGCTTCATTCACTCTCTCTCACTGCTGTAAAGTTACCTCTGTATGTCTTTTCTATAAATACTTTAATGGTAATTGTTCGAATGAGTTCTTCACTATTGTGCCTAGATTTTTTTTATTTAAATGCACTACTAGACAGGTGATGATTTCTCATCAATTTACAGTTGAGCTGGCTAGATGTAATCATAAGTTTTAGGTTCTATAAGTTTCTTTTCTTACACTTCTCGCCTGTGGAACTCTCTCCTGCCTCTATGTTTTGCAGCCAACTTTAATCTGCAAAAAATTAAATGCAATGTTAATTGCTATCTACTGTTCTCCTGTTTCTTCTTTTGTTCCCTCTCTTTAGTAATGTTTCTATTTTCTAATTCTTCCACCCCAGTAGCCCTTTATGTCTTAGTGGCTTTACTGCTTTGCTAGGATGGATTAAAAAAAAAAAAAAAAAATGCCACATCACTGTTAGATTTTTACATTACTAGTATTACCTCTGATGGTCACTCCTTGTCATGGTAGAGGGAGTTTTAAACTCCTAATAAGGCCACCCTGGTGGCAAGGTTCAAGACGAGGACCCAGATTAAGCATGACCAACCTCAAAGACCCCAATAGTGGAACAAACAGATGATTATTACAATGGATCTCAATGGTTGAACCAGCTGCTGAAGAGGGCTATGCCTGATGGACATGCTACCAAAGGTAGCATTCAAAATTATAACAGAGTCAGTTGCAATCTGTTGCAGTTTTACAACCGGATTTTGCATGTCTCACTTCATATGTGCCGCAGAGGAAGGTCATGAAATCAAGTGTGAAAGTCACTTCCTGGTAATTTGAGGTCCACCTTAAACAAATTCACACCATTCGCACTTTCTCCTCCTTTGATTTTCTTTCACCTTCAACCAACTTTTGCAAAGCCAAATAGTGACAGGGAATGTATGAAGGGTGTTGGTGACACTGGAAGCTTCTAGTCCTGAATTTGTACATTGGTGGTGAATGTAGTCATCAACACTATCATCATAAAGGAAGCAGCAATCAGCAAAGAAGAAATTAAATTCCTGGATATGAGATAAAGGTACTGTCACCACCAACGACTGTAGTATTTCCTTTCAGTTACATCTCTTTCTTTCATAGTTTCCAGCTGCTTAATGAAAGACATATATTCAAGCATATTTTGGTAGGATGGATCAGCCTTGACTTTCTTATGATTCATCTCTTAATTATTGTTTGAGTAAATTATATTATTATGGAGTAAGGTGAGGTAAAAGTTCCTATATGTGGTCAAAATTATTGTCTATTGTAGGGAGTGCTAAAGATAAAAAAAAAATATCCTCCAGATTTCAGCTTAATATATAAAGATGCAGGGTGATTTTTTTTAGGGGGCATGTTTTTGACAAATAAGTGCATCTTGTATACCATTTGATATGGTAATAATTTACAAGAGAAAATTTGTAGACAATAAACACCTAGATTATATAGGGGTGGCCACTGAAAAACTGAAGGGTTTGAAAAAAATCATAACTTGTTCATTTTCAATCTTTTTTATTTTATTTTATTTTTTGCAAGTTATAGAGCATCCCTTGGAGATTAAAATGGCTACATATAATGTTCAGCAATGAGTACAACTCATTGAGTTTTTCTATTCCAATGAAAGATCAATTATTAAAACTCAGAAAAAATAATGGCAACATTTCATTGTCAAACTGTCACCTAGTGGTAACATAATTCAGAACCTATGTGCCCAGTTTGAAAGAACTAGATTAGTCAGCAATCTTCAGGGAAGAGGTCTTAAGTGCACTGTGCACACTGACTCAATAGTGGAAGCTGTATGGAAATGTCCTTTAGGATCTATCAGCTTCTACCCATCGTCACTCTGCCTCTGCTCAACTAGGCATTGCCAGAACATCAGAAGATTCTGAAACTGGGTTTAAAAATGTTTACATACAAGATTCAAATGGTCCAAACCTTACTACCCTAAGATACTCATGTGTTTGTAAAAGTTATTTTTGCTTTACATCATTCAGTCTTTCAGTGGCCACCCTATATAAATCTACCCAAAATCTGATAATTATCTAATTTCAATAAAAAATCTTGCATATTTTTCATTTATGTATGATTATTTTTAAAATAGGTATTTTTTAAAAGTTTTTGGGAAATGATTTTTTTTTTTTAAAGTTAAACACTTTTTTATATAATTTATGAACTCTTGAAATATGTTTTGGACAAATAAAAAATTATTTCCAGAGAAATGAAGTCTATTGAAATTTTATTAGAAACTTCAACCAG